CATAAAACAATACAATCGCATTTGCAATGCTGTTAATAGAATTAAATAACGACTTGGGTGAATGTGTATGTGTACATGTATCAGAAATTCTTGCGTTTTTCGCTAGTTGCCGCTGATATGTGGCCTGCCAATATATATATAGCCACACGTTTTCTTTAATAACTTCTGTGTTTCTTAAGCGGTCTTGAAATGTTCTACAGTAGATCTTATTGGGCTATAGAATATTTGTATATTCGCAAGAAGTCAATTGCATTCAATTTGTAGCTTAAATTGGTGGGCAATACAAATTGGTTTATTTACTTGATTTATAGCTATGTGGTTGTAAAGGGAGGTTGCAACAGCTATAAAATGAAAGATACTTTAAATAAACGTATTCTAGAACCTACATGTCAAGTTTAGTGACTCTAGCTCTTATAACTTACGGGATTTGCTTTGAGATTTCGATTTGTATAGATTCCTTGGAAACGGCCCGTCCGTCAGTCAGTCCGTCCGTATGTATGAACGCAAGGATCTCAGAACCTATAAGAGCTAGAGACTTGATATTTTAGATGTAGATGCTCCTAGTTCCCGCGCAGATCAAGTTTGTTTTCGATAACCGATAACTTACTCCGTTTCCACGCAATCTATAAAAATATCGATATCCTGTTTTTAGGGTAAGTTTGGTAAATAATAAGAGCTAGAGTCAGTCGGGAGCTCCCGACTAGAACCTCTTACTTGTTAATTTTAATTCAATCAATTCTTTTCTATGTTATGGTTAAAACAATTATTACCGACTTTTATACTTGTCACTGACAATTTCAAGCTTAACAAGTAAGAGGTTCTAGTCGGGAGCTTCCGACTAGGGGTTACCCTGAACCCTCTTTTTCCAACATCAAATATATATATATATATATATATATATTCTATTTTAGAAGCTATATGCCAAGTTTGGTAACTGTAGCTCTTATAATTTACCAAAATTTTTTTTATCGATTGCTTGGAAACGGAGTAAGTTATCGATTATCGGAAACAAACTCGATCTGCGCGGGAACTAGGAGCATCTACATCTAAAATTTCAAGTCTCTAGCTCTTATAGGTTCTGAGATCCTTTGGCTCATACATACGGACGTACGGACGGACGGCCGGACGGACGGACGGACAGACAGACGGACACGGCTAGATCGACTCGACTATTGATGCTGATCAAGAATATATATACTTTATACGGTCGGAGATGCTTCCTTCTGCCTGTTACATACATTTGGATTTTGCACAAATACCATATACCTTTATACTCATTTTTAATGAGTTCAGGGTATAATGATTACTCACACTCAGATCCATTATCTATAAAAAATGGCGACGTGACTATTTGGGACGTATATGGGTACATAGGACACACGATTAACGTCGTATAAAACATACGCTGACGAGACAAAAATACCTTAGACTTCTTTGCCAAGAAACACATGGGATAGATATAGATCCTTACCACGAACATTAGACATATAGAATCAATGCTGGCCACTTTAGGAGTTTATCACTGGCATGCACGTAGTAAAAAATTAAATTAAATTAGTAATAGTAGGAAATCCCGATTTTTATGATTGGAAGAAAATCAAATTGAAACAAGGTCAGCTAGTAGAGTCAATAAATGAGATCCCTTTAAATACCGTTCAGATAACAGTGTGTATACAGAACAGCTTTAGAAAATTTAATAATGTAATAACTTAATCAAAAATAAACCTGATAAATATAGCATGATATGTGTCACTAATGATAGAGTATACTATAAGTAGCCGGTGTTATAATTATAATGTGTATGTTATTATACCCTGAACCCATTAAAAATGGGTATAAGGGTGCGAAAGCCAAATGTATGTAGCAGGCAGAAGGAAGCTTCTCCGACCCCATAAAGTCTGTCTGTCTGTCCGTCCGTATGTATGAACGCAAAGATCTCAGAACCTATAAGAGCTAGAGACTAGAGAAATTTTAGATGTAGATGCTCCTAGCTCCCGCGCAGATCGAGTTTGTTTCCGATAATCGATAACTTACTCCGTTTCCAAGCAATCGATAAAAATCGATATCGATATCCTGTGTTTTGGGCAATTTTTGTAAATAATAAGAGTTAGAGTCACCAAACTTGACATATAGCTTCTAAAATAGAATATATACATATATGCATTTGATGTTGGAAGAAGAGGGTTCAGGGTATCCCCTAGTCGGGAGCTCCCGACTTGAACTTCTTACTTGTTATTATTCAATTTGTGGCTGTTTAGTATAAGACTGTGGCAACTGTTCGATCTATGCAGATGTATGTAACGGGGTGAAGGAAGCTAACCCATTTATATATTTACACACACATACATACGTTCCACCCCTAGGTCTAACAAGTGCATATGCATATGTGTACCTAGGTACATACATATGTTTATTTTCTCGCCAGAAGGGAGTAGAAGCACTAACCAAACAACATATAGACAGGACATCCAGTGAAATATGCTGGGACCACGCATATGATATGCGGCTGATACAAAGTCGCCTTCGTTTTTTTTTTGTTTGGGTTCGAGACACGCCCGCACGCTCAGACAGCAAGAAAGTAAGAAATATATATGATTTGTGTGACAGAATGGACACCTTAATGTTTTTTTTGTGGCTGCATGTGCTTTTAAATCGAATAACTTGGCCGTTATATTGCTTTTGCAATAGCTGCAATAAGCCCATGTATCGTCAGTAACATCCTTGCCCAGCCAGCTTGTAAACTCGGTACTTAACGAATTTTTTTCATATAAACAGCTTTCGACATTTTACAAGTCAAAAGTTTATTAAGTTGAGAAATTCATTGTCTTAGTGGTGTGAGCCGCGCGTAAATCGCACTAAGCAATTTGAAACTAATAGCGATAGTTATACCAACACGCGAACTTCACGCTTTCCCTTCAATAATGATACCAACATCGCTCATTTCAAGTTTAGACTCATTTTTGTTAATATTAAATAATTTTATAAAAAAAAAGCGAAAAAAATTTAATCTCTTTTTAAAACACCAGAATTCCCGCTGCCCGCTGTTTTTAATTTTTTCCCGCAGTCAGAATTTTAAAAAAGACAGATCTGACGGGAAAAAATCTGAATTGGCAACACTGACGCTGACACGAGCAACGAAGTAAGTCGCCAGCCTGCCTTCAGCAAAGCTGTTCGATGGTACCGTCGCTAGCGTCGCTTTATTTTCGAAGTACATTGAGCGAAAAAGTTTTAAACTTACGATCGACGGATTGTACTTTTGTAAATCCATGAAATGCATGCTTTATTTAAAATAATACATTACCCTAGATACTAACAAAAAATCTGTTCAGGTAAATTTAAGAATAAAATAATTTTTTCACAAAGCAGATCTTGCGCAATAACAATGTTAAGAAAATAGCGCACATACATAGGGTGATTTACCTTTTGTATTTGGACAGTGTATGCTCGATAACAGTTCTTGTCACAGCCAATGACGAATTTAAATTATACATGCATAGCTTCATCAAAATATCTATATATGTGTTGTTATTCACTGCTCTAGCAAAGTCTCTGGCTGGTAAAGAAATAAATTTTCTTAGTTTTCTAGCGCTGATCATGACCTATCCTAAATTCGTGTTGACATATGAATGTAAGTTGTGCACTGACCCAGCGGACCAAACTGTCTCAAATAATATCGCAAACTGGTCAATTGCGAGACTTTACCCGACAAAACTATCGCAAACGCATCGTGAAACGATAGCAATATGAATCATATTACCTTCAGGTTGTGGCAGTCAAAGTTTCATTTACGACTGTCACAAGAAATACGACTAGCAAGCGTTTTGTGATATTTAAAAAAGTTTCTTAAAAGATCACGCAAAAGGCTCGTATGAAATATGATTTGCGAAACTTTTTTTGTTCCATGCCCATTTTACTCCCATAAAAATGTTTGTTGCTGTTTTTTTCTTAATATTCATTTTAATTCAAATTGTATTTTAAAACTAAATATCATTTAATTTAACTTAAAATTAAAAGGTATTTTTAAAGCAATCTTATAATTATAAAACAAGTAAGAGGTTCTATTCGGGAGCTTCCGACTTGGGGATACCCTGAACTCTCTTACCAAATAAATTAATAAAAAAAAGTACCCTTGGCAGGGCTCGACCTCACAAGTGACCGCATTAGTTGCTGTCGGCGCAACTTAACAGCCACACCAGCAAAAAAAAAAAAATAATACTTTCCCCGGCTCAAACTCGCGACAGCACCACTTGCTATGCATCTACTCAGCAGCCACACCAACAATTAAGTACATATGATAAAAAAGGAACTAAAATAACTAACAAAAAAAAAAGATGCAATTACCATGCTATTAGAATGCGAAGCAGGCGCGCTTGAATGTGTGTGTACATGTATACAGAAATTCTTAAAGCTGCTGCCCCATTCAATTGCGCAGTTGCATATAACTTTGGTTTTTCTTAACCGATCTTTTTGAAATTTTCTACAGTACCATAGAACATTTGTGTATTCTGAAAAAGTCAATTGCATTAAAATTGTGGTTTAAATTGGTTGGCAATAAAAGTTGGGGTATTAACTTGATTTATAGCTCTGGGGTGGTAGCGGGGAGGTGGCGGTAGGTATGAAATGAAAGATACTTGAAATATCTATTATATTCTAGAAGCAACATATCATGTTTGGTGGCTCTAGCTCTTATTATTTACCCAATTTGCTAAAAAGATATCGATATTGATTTTTATCGATTGCTTGGAAACGGAGAAAGTTATCGATTATCGGAGACAAACTCGATCTGCGTGGGAACTAGGAGCATCTACATCTAAAATTTCAAGTGTCCTGCTCTTATAGGTTCTGAGATCCTTGCGTTCATACATACGGACGGACAGACGGACGGACGGACGGACGGACGGACAGACAGACGGACATGGCTAGATCGACTCGGCTATTGATGCTGATCAAGAATATATATATATAGTTTAGTTAATAATCTACACTTGTTAATTACTTACCTCTCTATAGAAATCCAAATTTTAACAAATCCCATCACTTTGACCACGTGTCTGCTCGCTTCGGCGGACAATATAAAAGAGAACAAAGGAATTTTTCAACCACCAAAAAACGGTCTGAGTAGGAAAAAACAACAAAAACAACAAGTATCCGAATGTCACATCGTTTTTACTCTCTGGCTCTCATGAAAATGTTTCACTCTCTGGGCACGATTATTTGAATCATCATTTGAAACAAAAACAACGTTCCATTCACTGCAACGCTCGTGTGCGATTGCTTTGCGATAAAAATATGTCCTACTCGTTTTCTGCTCACATGCGAGCTCTTTTGTGAGCATTCTGCGAGACTCTCTATAAAGGCTCGCGGGTTGGTCCGCTGGGGAGGTTAGCTCCGTAGAAAATATGTATTTTTAAGTCGATGCAAATGTTTTTATAATTTCATTAAATCTTTTGCCAGAGTAGTGAATAACAACACATTCAAATATGCTCTCATGTATGTATATTCACACGCATACAAAAATAATTACTTGCAAGGCCATCATAGAGCAGAAGCTGAAGGTACATTATATTTTTAGCTTTTTTGCTCTCTCGGCTGTGAGAGCACAATGATACAGATTTCGTTTTCCTCCTCAATTTTCAAAAAATCAAGCTGCATAGTAGCATTTTGTTGTAGGGCGATATTCATCTTATTGTTTATATTGTCTTTGGCCTTACCATCTGACATCCATTTTAATCAAAATCTCATGTTTATTAATATAAATTTTTTTTACAGATCTTTTTAAAGACTACTCAAATATTACTTACAAACACACAAATAATAATAAATTTTTTTTTTAATTGTTTAGTTAATTGTTTAACCTGATTTCATTTATCTCAATGTTAATTGTTTTTTGCTTTTGTGTTAGTGCCTTGAACGGTTGCCAAAGTGCAGCCAAAATATATAAATATATATTTCAAACAAAATTGCGATTTTTCATTTTTGTCTTGAATAAAAACCCCGGGCCTCGAGCCAGCCAAAACAATAATTATAACATGGAAAGGTCGCCAAATCCCGCATCATATGTATAATATATTTAATTATACAAGTCGCTATGCGTCACTTAAAAAAATATAACTTTATTAAACAATGCGCGGCTTACCGGAGCTCATATGAATAGAATATTCAACTTTACGGTTTAAATTCGTCGGATAATCTCAAACTTTAAACTGATGTTACCGCTTAGCAAGCCCCGGATGAGGGCTCGCAAGATCATTAGCTCTCATTATTTGTTCTCTTTATTAGTGTTTTGGAATATTTTAAGAGTCTGAATTTGAGCTGCGTTGGCAATTTAGACATTTGGTGGGAATAACGATTTGGGCCTCTGACATTTATTGTAACAAATTTCAATTAGTGTGTATCGTATTACAATATTTAAGTTGTGTGCTAAGTTGCTAGAGCTTATGTATAAGGGGTTTTATATATGATATATGCTTTATTTAAATACATGAGTGCATGTGCAAATATGGTATGTGTTGTAGGTGTGGTACATATGTATGTCACTATCCGCCTTGCACGTGAAACGTTTCGTGCCCGTGTTAAATTGAAATCTACCCATCTTGATCTCTATTTGTATTTAAAAATATATTTTAAGTACATCGAATAAAGAACCAAGTGTTGGAATCAATGGTTTCCACCCATATTAGTCAAGCGGTGAGAATCATGAAGCTGAAGAATAAACATTATTTTTGACCTTTGATCCGCATTCGGGACCCAAGAACCTATGAAATAAACTCTCAAAAAGATCTTCGAAAATGATATTAAAGCCGATCGGTTGGTAACCAAAAAGTTTTCATACAACCGGTTTTTCACTAATTAACCACTGTTGTGAGTGGAACCTCCCAATTCGATGAAACACGTATTCATTAAGTTCTTATGTAGAGCTTTGAAAATAAGTTTTAAGCAAATCGGACAAAACTTAAACCGTCACCAAAAAAATCTTAGAATTGCACTTTCTACCGAGGAAGTTTGGATTCTGCGAAAAGTGTGAAGCACGTCTCAAATGATTTTTAGTATAGATCTTTGGAAATAAATTTGAACACGAAATGCCACCCACCATATCTTTGACCCCCATTTTCACCTTGAAGCTGAAGAATAAACTTTCGATTATTAAACCTTTGATCCGCATTTGACACCCAAGAACGTATAAAATAAATTCTTACAAATATCTTTGAAAATGATTTTAAAGTTGATTGGATGGTAAGCAACAACCTTTCATACAACCGGTTTTTGCTAATTAACCACTGTTGTGAGTGGAATTTCCCAAATCGCTGAAACACGTACTCATTAAGTTCTTTTGTAGAGCTTTAAGAAATAAAGCAAAACAGGAAAACTTAAGGCTTAAAGAATAAGCTTTGATTCTGCGAAAAGTGTGAAACAAGTTTCAATTGTTTTTTCATGTAGATCCTTGGAAATGAATTGATAGATCAGATAAATTTTGACAAATATCTGTGAAAATGTTTTTGAAGCCGATCGTATTTAACTATTTTTTTAATTTCTTTATTTATTTATAAATGGTTGACAAACGAGTGTCTAATTGTAAAAATTAAAAAATTAGATGCTAAAAGCTTAATAAGAATAAACAATTTTCTAATAACAATTTTCTAATAGCATTGCCCGTCCAGGCAGCTATGCCCCTTTTCACAGCTAAATTTTTCAGTGACGTTATTAGAGCCTACGGCTGAGAAGAAGGGTTTTGGTAGAGAAAATAGTAGAAAATAATCTTCAAATACTATATTATTTAAGAAAATACAGTAAATAGGAAAAAGAAAGAAAGAAGTTATTAATAAAGTAAAGAAATTTATACGAGATATATAGAGTGTTAAGTAGATAGGAAAAAAAGATAGTAATGGGAAATCACCGAACCGGAGGGGGGAATTTATAGCCTGTCCGGCAAGCTACATCTCTACCCATAGCTGGGAATGGCCAGTGAGTTCCCGAAGTTATACTGAAAGCAAAGTGGAGAAAACGTGATAGAATATTACAGAAAACTTTTAAAAAGAACAAATAACGAGACCATTGCTAAAAGAGAGATAGCTCATGATCTAGAGAGCCCGCAGCCGAGGTTTGCTAAGCTATTGTAATTTTTGCATAACATGCGAAAAGAATTGTGCATAGCGTAATCTGTTGGGCACGTAGGTAGAAATAGGGGGCGATAATTCCTGGTTGGTCTAGCCGGAACAGAGAAGGAGAATCTTTGTCGCCAATAATCAACTTATGTAGAAAGACAACACCGAGAATTGTCCTACGGTTGGTTAACGACGGAAGGTTAAGAAAAAGCAGCCTACTGGAGTAGGATGGCAACCGAAGATTAGGGTCCCAATTTAAGCCTCGTATGGCAAAAAGCAGAAATTGCTTCTGAACAGATTCAGTTCGATCTTGGCTATTGTTATACTACGGAGACCAGATGCAAGAGCAGTATTCAAGGATAGGGCGAACAAGAGAGATGTACAGAAGTTTTGTTATAAAAGGATCGTTAAACTCTTTAGACCATCGTTTATTGAATCCAAGTACACCTTTTGCCTCATTAACGATGGTATCTATGTGAAGATTGAAAGAGTTTAGAATCAAAAATAACGCCTAGATCCTTAACAGTTAATAAATGTTGCAAAGGGATATTGTCGATTGTATAAGTGACAAGATAAGGTGTAGTACGATTAAATGTCACAAAGATACACTTTTAACAATTCAGATGCAATTGATTGGCCGAACACCAAGGTTGCATGGCGTTCAAATTGTCTTGTAAACGAGAATGATTTAGGGGATTAGTGTATTATAGAATAAGTTTCAGATCGTCCGCATACATGAGTACACGGTCATGTGATATAACAGGGGGGAGATCATTTATAAAAAGAGTAAGGAGTAAAGGTCCAAGATGACTACCTTGAGGAACACCAGAAGTGACGTGAACCTGTTTAGAGGTAGTCAGCCTCAGCTTACACTTTGGGTCCTACCTTTTAAATAAGAATTAATCCAAATCAAGAGACGGAGGGAAACCTATTCGGTCAAGTTTAAAAAGTAAAATGTCATGGTGCACAGAGTCAAATGCCTTGAAGTCAGTGTAAATGTCATCAATTTACATTTTCGAAAGGAAATCATCATTTACAATGAAAGTAAACTCAAGCAAATTGATCGTAGTTGGCAGATTCTTTACGAATCAATGTTTAACAGGGGAAACATCTGATTTGCAGAAATGCTGCAAATTCGAAGTGATAATTATACCCTGAACCCATTAAAAATGGGTATAAGGGTATATTGAATTTGTGCGAAAGCCAAATGTATGTAACAGGCAGAAGGAAGCATCTCCGACCCCATAAAGTATATATATTCTTGATCAGCAACAATAGCCGAGTCGATCTAGCCATGTCCGTCTGTCTGTCCATCCGTCTGTCTGTCCGTCCGTCCGTCCTTCCGTATGTATGAACGCAAGGATCTCAGAACGTATAAGAGCTAGAGACTTGAAATTTTAGATGTAGGTGCTCCTAGCTCCCGCGCAGATCGAGTTTGTTTCCGGTAATCGATAACTTACTCCGTTTCCAAGCAATCGATAAAAATCGACATCAACGACCTGCTTTTTTTTAGCAAATTGGGTAAATAATAAGAGCTAGAGCCACCAACCATGATATGTTGCTTCTAGAATATAATAGATATTTCAAGTATCTTTCATTTCTTACCTATCGCCACCTCTCCGCTACCAACCCAGAGCTATAAATCAAGTTAATAACCCAACTTTTATTGCCGACCAATTTAAACCACAATTTAAATGCAATTGACTTTTTCAGAATACACAAATATTCTATGGTACAATATGATATACTGTAGAAAATTTCATAAAGATCGGTTAAGAAAAACCAAAGTTATATGCAACTGCGCAATTAAATGGGGCAGCAGCTTTAAGAATTTCTGTATACATGTACACACACACATTCATGCGCGTCTGCTTCGCATTCTAATAGCATGGTAATTGCATGTTATTTTTGTAATGTTATTTTAGTTGCTTTTTTATCATAAGTACTTAATTGTTGGTGTGGCTGTTGAGTAGATGCATAGCAAGTGTTGCGGTCTGTCACGAGTTCGAGCCCTGCCAAGGGAACTTTTTTTTGTTAATTTATTTGGTGTTGGAATAAGAGGGTTCAGGGTATCCCTAGTCGGGAGCCCCCGACTAGAACCTCTTACTTGTATTTTAAATAATTTGGGAATAGCAGTCAATTATGTAATGCCCCTGCAATTTTGTATATCAGACTTTCCACCTTTCTTGTGG